CCTGCATTTTGGTTGGCCAATAGCGGTCAAATCTTTTGTGGATTTTTGTTGTAAGTTAATAATTGAATACTGAAATACAATAGGCGGCATGTATCAGCAAAGTAGAGTAGCCATGTGTGATGCTTGTTAGAAGGCGTGACTTTACCTGAGGCATACCATGAAACCTACTACCTAGAGTTTAGTTCATCTCTCCCTGTGCCGTCGCGCCTGGGGGCTATAACTCTTAATGAAGGAGACATGGACGTGGCACCTTTCCCCAGGGGATTGCTTCTTGCCCTCCTATAGGAAACTGGAACTCTCAAAAACCCAAAACATTGTAAATAACTCAAAATAAGTTTTATTGATCACAAAGAGTTATTTCTTTAAAGCAATGAGCTGGAAACTTCAGAGGGGTGAAGGAAAATATACGTTACAGTCTCAGTTAGTCCTGGGTCCGAGGTGTTTGAAGCTGAGAAGCCTTTCCAAGTTTCCTCTTTCCTCAGTGCCGGAGCAAACCACAACCCCAGTTCAGATGGCCTATGTTTGAAGACTCAGGATCTTCCTCTGGTGCCAAAAGAACCGGTTTGAAGGTGCTTGAGACTTCCAACGTCGTTCAGGTTGGTCTGAACATGAAGCATAAGTCTCAAGGGTAAAAAACCTCAGAATTGGTGCTGAGAGGTAATTTAAATCAGGGTCTTTTAGAGTCAAGTCTCTTACTCACATCCATCTGGTAGAAACTCTAATGGCAGAATGGAAAGAAAGGAAGCACTCCCCTCCTGCAGGAAGAGGTGGAGCCAAACAGTACTGATTGGCAGCTATAAGTAACCAATCCATCCAACTATACATAAGCAGGGTAAAAAGGCAGGATTAAGCATGATACAACAGTTTAAATCTTGCAACTAACAGTTCTACACATAGGTGGTGCCACTCGCGCCGTCACACTCCCTCTTTATTATTATTATTATTATTATTATTATTATTATTATTATTATTGTGTTTATTTATATCCTGTTTTTTCTTGCTATACAGAGACTCAAAGCAGCTCCCAATTAAAAGCATTACAATACAACTTAAAATATGTAAATATTAAGACAGTATTAAACATCATTAATATTAAAAACAATTCAGGTGAAAACCTTAAAAGCATATAAAACCACAGCACCCCCTGACTAGGTCTTAAACACTTTCATCTTTAAAAACCGGTCTGAATAAAAAAGTTTTAGCCTGCTGTCAGAAAGACAGCAGGGAGGGAGCCATTTTAGCTTCCTTGGGCAGAGAGTTGCAGAATTGCTCTCGCTTTGGTTAGCCTTATCTACTTCACGGGCTCCTGGTAGCGCAGCGGGTTAAACCACTGAGTTACTGAACTTGCTGACTAAAAGGTTGGTAGTTCGAATCCAGAGAGTGGGGTGAGCTCCCGCTGCTGCCAACCTAGCAGTTCAAAAACATACAAGTGTGAGTAGATCAGTAGGTACCGCTTCTCCAGGAGAGTAACTGCACTCCATGCAGTCATGCTTGCCACATGACCTTGGGGGTGGCTATGGACAATGCTGGCTCTTCAGCATAGAAATGAAGATGAACACCATCACTACCACCCCTCCCCCAGAGTAGGACACGACTAGACTTAATGTCAGGGGAATCCTTTATCCTTTACCTTTTTACCTACTTCACAGAGTTGCAGTGAGGATAAATAATAACAATAATAACAATAACAACAACAACAACAATAATAATAACTTTATTCTCACACCCTGCCACCATCTCCCCAAAGGGACTTGGGGCGTCTTACATATGGGGTAATGCCTGCAAGACATAAATACAAAACAATCAATTCAGGCAAAATCACAATTAAAATAAGAGCATAATAAAATATAACAATCCAGATAAAAACACAATTAAATAAAACATAAGAATATAAAACAGCAGTGTTGAAACTCAATCAAAGCAACCCCCCCCAAAAAAAAAAAAAACAGTAATCAGTACTATAATGGTTGTGACCAGGCTATAAAAAGGGCCAGGCATGGGATAGTGCAAACAGTGTACTATCCCATAGGGCCGGGGTATTGGATGAAGTTCAGAGAACATAATATTATCAGGCAACCTAGGGACTTGGCATTTATAACTAGGGACTTCTCTATTCTACTTTGAGCTCACTGAACAAAAGGTGAGGATATAAAGTTCACAATCAAGTATTTCTACCTCCAGAAATTCAGTTTACAGTTGGGATAAATGGTAAGGGTGGACCAGCAGGGATGTGTTCATGGTGTACTGGCAATCAATGATCCTAAACCCATTTACTTATGACTCAATGAGGTCTTGCTTCTGTATAAGCCTGCCAGGAATTGGACTGCTGAAGATGTTTGTTTCCTCTCTTTGCCAAGTACCAAATGTGTACTCCCCTGCTGTTTTACTGTTTTCTTTCCCATTTCTTCTCTTACCAGTTCTGCAGAATTGGCTCAAATTACTCAGTTCTTAGGTGCTCCTTGTACACCCAACCTCCTGGCACTACCAATTAAAAGCTTGCAAGTAGTCTGTCTTCAGATTTACGACTGAAAGATAAAACAAAAGGTGGTAAAATTCAGGGTGTGGTTTTGTCTTATGGAAGCTTCTATAAGTTTGAGTGAATGTTTTCACTTTTATAACTAAATCCCCTCACGTCTAGAACCAGTGTTTCCTTCCGTAAAACAAAATGCAAAGCCATAAACTTGCTCCATGTTACAAAAAACAAAATTGAATTTTAGAAAGTTATCCCACAGAATTTCTAAGGCCGCAATCCTGAAAAGCAGCCATGCGATGTTTGAGCATCAGACTTCATCTTTATAGACCAAGGCTTGAACCCCATTTAGCCATGGAAGCCATGGAAACTGTATACCATGTAGCTGTGGACAAGTCTACATAGAGACCACCAAACGCAGCACCCAAACATGAATCAAGGAACATGAAAGGCACTGCAGACTACTTCAGCCAGAGAAGTCAGCCATAGCAGAGCACCTGATGAACTAACCTGGGCACAGCATATTATTTGAGAACACAGAAATGCTGGACCACCCTAACAACCACCATGTCAGACTACACAGAGAAGCCACTGAAATCCACAAGCATGTGGACAATTTCAACAGAAAGGAGGAAATCATGAAAGTGAACAATATCTGGCTACCAGCATTTAAAAACTCCAAAATCAGGACAGTAAATAAAGAACAACATTCAGAAAACAGGGGAATTCAGACATGAAACAATCAGGGCCACCTAACACCTCCCAACAAAGGATTCCCCCAGGCAGGAAGCAGCCAGGCTTTGAAGCTGCAAAGCCATTCAATGCTACTCATGGTGGCCAATCCAATGCCCTCACTGCAGAAGAAGATTCAGATCAAGAATAGGGCTCCACAACCACCTACAGACTCACAAGAATTCTGATCCTGGAAGACTATCCTACTCGGCCAACGAGGGATCACCTAAGCCTGGCCAATTGTAACATTGACACTTGATGTTTTACCATCCTTGTGGGAGGCTTCTCTCATGTCCCTGCAATGGGGAGCTGGAGCTGATAGAGGGAGCTCATCCACGCTCTCCCAGGGTTCAAACCTTTGACCTGCCGGTCTTCAGTCCTGCCAGCACAGGGGTTTAATCCACTGTTCCACCGGGGGCTCCAGCCACATAATGAGAAGAAAGGAAAGATTAGAGAAGACAATGATGCTGGGGGAAATGGAAGGAAAAAGGAAGAGGGGCCAACCAAGGGCAAGATGGATGGATGGTATCCTCAAAGTGACTGGGTTGACCTTGAAGGAGCTGGGGGTGGCTCTGGCGTGGGCTTGTCCACGAAGAGTTGGAAGCGATTGAACAAATAAACAACATAAATCATAATAATAATATGTGTTTAATGCATAGGTGTTTTTCTTAACTTTTATAGTTTAATATATATGCTTTATTGTTTTTATATGAGGGTTGAATGAAAAGTAATGCCTCCACCTTTGTAACTCCTCAACAGATGGCAGTACTGGTATGCAGCAGGTACTGGCTTGTTCAGTGGACTCTCCTCTACACTTCCATTTTGGCGGGAAGCTTTAGCATTGAATGGTTGTGTTGTTAAAGTGCGAAGTATGGAACCCTGCGGTCAATGCGACTTAAGCAACATGCAGTCATTGAATTCTTGACAGCAGAAGGTGTCACCCCAAAGGAGATTCATCAGATAATGCACACTGTTTATGGTTATTGTGTTGGTGTGAGTACTTTGCATCGTTGGGCGAGTAAGTTTAAAGATGTTGGGGTGAGAACATCTAACTTGCGTGACAAAGAGTTGGACGTCCTGTGACAACAACCACCGAGTTTCACAAGCAAAAGGTTGACAGATTGATTCAGGATTGATTTCTATTACTCACTCGGCTTAAAGAGAAATTTCAAGCAAGTTGAAGAGCACATTCTAAGGATTATTTCTGCATTTGATTTATTAAAATATTCCCATCCAAACCCAAGTAACGAAGGTGGAGGCATTACTTTCCATTCAGCCCTCGTATGTTTGTTCATAGGGCATTGAATTGTTGCCAATAGGTAAGCGGCTCTGTGTCCCCTTAAGGGTGAGAAGGGCGTATATAGTAAATAAATAGATCAGAAGGTGATCTGGCATCAGATCCTGGGATATAGGGCAGTGTAGATTCACCCAAAGGCAACCCTTTTCCGAACAAGGGAAACCTCCTGATAGGGTCGCCCTGAGTCGGGAAAGACCTGAAGGCAGACACAACAGGCTGCTGCTAAAACTTGTTGCTGTAAGAAAGAGATCAAGAGATGGAGAGTTTGTGGTCGGAGTGGAGAGACGAATAGCCAGGCTTCCGAAATGTTTCTCCTTCGATGGGACAGAAATCCTCTGCGCTGCTTCAACTGCCTTCCATTGAACTTGAGGCGGCTTAGACAGAGCGCAAGCAGCCTTCCTCCGGGCTCCTCGGCTGCCCCCTCCCCCAAAAGAGAGGCTCGACTCCCGCCTCTCCCCACCCTCCTCCTCCTCCTCCTCCCCCATTTCCAGCCCCCTTCCCTCCTTCCCTCCTCATTGTGCGAGAGACTGAGGTGGGGCCGGGCGCTCTCCATCCTCCTCCTCCTCCTCTTCCGCGACCATGAAACTTCTTCGCGGGGGTCTGCCTGTCCTCCTCCTCCTTCTCCTTTCCTGGCCGCTCTCCTGGGAGGCTGAGACGGTGGAGCCCCTCCGAAGAGGCTCCCTTTACGGCAACCGCTACGCCGGGTGAGTCTCCTTGCCCCTCTCCTTGCCCTGGGCCGCTTCCCCTGCCCCTCTCTTTGCCTAGACGGGAAAAAGGCTGATGCCTCCTCACGCTAGAGCAGTGCTTCTCAACCTTCCTCATACCGCGACCCCTTAATACAGTTCCTTATGTTGTGGTGACCCCCAACCATAACATTATTTTCTTTGCTACTTCATAACTCTAATTTTGCTACTGTTATGAATCGTAATGTAAATATTTGATATGCAGGATGTATTTTTATTCACAGGACCAAATTTGGCACAAAGACTTGTCCGGTTGGGGAGGGTTGATTTTGTCAATTGGGAGTTGTAGTTGCCGGGATTTATAGTTCACCTTAAATTCAAAGAGCATTCTGAACTCCCCCAACGATGGAATTGAACCAGTCTTGGCACACAGAACTCCCACGACCAACAGCAAATACTGAAAGGGTTTGGTGGGCATTGAACCTGATTTTGGGAGTTGTAGTTTACCTACATCCAGAGAGCACTGTGGACTCAAATAATGATGGATCTGGACAGGCCTGTAGCCAGGATTTCGTTTCGGGGGGGGGGGGGGAAAAAATTTCAGGGGGGTTCGGGGGGGGCTGAGTTTTTCGGGGGGGGGCTGAGTCTGAGTGAAAGAGGGTCTACTCTAGCAAACCTTTTGTATTGTTACCCCAATACCCCCATGCATATGGGATATATTGAGTATGGTGATCAGATCATGATATGAATAAACATAGCAGTTTAAATAATGCACCAGTAAGGCCTTTTCGTGAACCACCATGAAAATTTCGGGAGGGGGGCTGAAGCCCCTCAAGTCCCCCCCTCCCCCGGCTACATGCCTGGATCTGGACCAAACGTAGCATGAAAACGTCCCAATGTGAACACTGGTGGAGTTTGGGGGAAATAGACCTTGATATTTGGGAGTTATAGTTGCTGGGATGTACAGTTGACCTCCAATCAAAGAGCATTCTGAACTCCACCAATGATGCAATTGAACCACTCTTGGCACACACAACTCCCAAGAGCAACAAAAAATACTGGAAGGGTATGGTGGGCATTGACCTTACATTTTGGAGTTGTAGTTCACTTACATCCAGAGATCACTATGGACTCAAACAATGATGGCTCTGGACCAAACTTGGCATGAATACTCAATATGTCCAAATGTGAACACTGGTGGAGTTGAGAGAAAATAGACCTTGACATTTGGGAGTTGTAGTTGCTAGGATTTATAGTTCACCTACAATCAAAGAGTATTATGAATCCTACCAATGATAGAATTGGGCCAAACTTCCCACACAGAACCCCTATGATCAACAGAAAATACTGTGTCTTCTGATGGTCTTTGGCGAGCCCCTCGCAACCTTCCCAGGAGTCCCAGCCCCCAGGTTGAGAAATGCTGGCTTAGATGTAAAGAGGCTGATGCCTCCTCATGCTAGAGAGCCTTCTGTTCCTCTGGCCCCTTTCATTGCCCTTTCAGCCCAACTGGCCAGAGATCTATGATCATCACAGGAAGGGGAGGAAAGAATGCTTCAGCGAGGTTGACATGAGCAGGGCAACTCCTCACAAAGCAAGCCTGATAAACTTGGACATCCCTCAGTCATTCCTACAGACTGGGGGGAAAGTGACCTTAAACCTGCCTTGAATGGTAAGTCCCAACTAGGGATGCCTTTAGAACAGTTTTTCTCAACCTTCCTAATGTCCTGACCCCTTAATACAGTTCTTCATGTTGTGGTGACCCCCAACCATAACATTATTTTCATTGCTACCTCACAACTGTAATTTTGCAACTGTTATTAATCATAATGTAAATATCTGATATGCACTGGACCAAACTTGGCACAAGTACCCCATACACAATGGGATTGAACCACACTTGGCATACAGAACTCCCATGACCAACAGCAAATACAGGGCATTGACCTTGAGTTTTGGAGTTGTAGTACACTTATATCCAGAGAGCACTGTGGACTCAAACCATGGTAGATCTGGACCAAACTTGGCATGAATACTCAATATGTCCCAATGCGAACACTAGTGGAGCTTGTGGAAAATAGACCTTGACATTTGGGAGTTGTGGTTGGTGGGATTTATAGTTCACCTATAGAATTGGGCCAAACTTCCCACACAGAACCCCTATGACCAACAGAAAATACTGTGTTTTCTGATGGTCTTTGGTGACCCCTCTGACATCCCTTCACAACCCTTTCAGGAGTCCTGACCCCCAAGTTGAGAAACACTGGCCTAGAGGGAAAGAGACTGGTACTTCCTCGTGCTAGAGAGCCTTCTGTTCCTATGGCCCCTTTCATTGCCATTTCAGACCAATTGGCCCAAGATCTATGATCATCTCAGGAAGGAGAAGAAACAATGCTTCACTGGGACTGACATGAGCAGGGCGACTCCTCACAAAGCAAGCCCGATAAACTTGAAGATCCCTCAGTCATTCCTACAGACTGGGGGAAAAGACGAGGGGTTTTGTAGGGACAACAACCTTAAACCTGTCTTGGCAAGTCCCAAATAGGGGTGCATTTAGCAGTAGAAATTAATGCAACTTGACAGGACTTTAATTGCCATGGCTATCGCAACATGGGATTTGTGGTTTGGTAAGACACACACTATCACGCTTTGGCCAAATACTTTTGTGTCAAACTGCTTTACTTCCGGGATTTGTGTAGATGCATTCTTCTCTAGTTGGGACTTACAATTTGATGAAGGTTCAAGGTTGCTGTCCCCTCTGCACCCTTTTCGAGAAAGTTTCCCTTGAATTATTTGCTGAACATCAGTGAACATTGATGTTGGTTCAATAGGTGCCTTCTTGCTGGGAGTGGCAATTGAAATTAGCCTTTGATATTAGTAAGAACTAAAGCCTTTGATTTCCTCATTGGACTATTAAGAGAAGGGAGAGTTTGAGAACTACAAGTGATCGACATTTTTCTTGTTTTTAATTTCTGCCCCAAAAAGCAATCTGTAATGATAGAAATGTACTTATGTTGGTCTACCATAGCTCTAAAACCACAAAATCTGTACCCTTGATACTTGCTTACTATGGAGACATCAAAGTGCAACTACCATAATCCCATAGGATTGAGCCATGGCTGTTAAAGTGATGTCAAACTGCATTCATTCTAGACTTCTCAAGACTTCACTAGTTATTTGTTATGTGTATAATTCAGATTGCTTACTGTATTGTATATGTGTGTATTGGTATGCAATTTCACTTTAACTCTTTTTGTGGATGGGGCTATATACCATGTGATCAGGTCTGGGCTTGTTTGGGACTCAGACTCCATTTTAGAACAGTATATGCTTCAGACTTCAATGCAGGAACAGTTTGTTTTGGACTTCAGTAGGAACAGCAGGCTTTGAGACTCCATTGGACTTTCTCACAAGACAGACTCTATTAGACTCTCAGAACAGAGAGATGCTTTGGATTATGAACAGAGAGATGCTTTGGATTATGAACTATTGATTCTTAGAAAGATGCCCTGCATTACCTACACAGAGAAACTACTTCAAATCTATTTGTAACTGGACTGATAAGCAAAGTACATGTATGCTGAATACATGTAGTTTGTGAGCAAACCAACTGTGTTACTTTTAAAGATATCTACTTATTTTTGTCTCTTGAGAGCTTGATTTGAAGGCAAATATATTTTAAGGGAGAGTAGATGTCTTTGGGCAACTAAAAAGAGCACTTCTGTAATTCTGCTGTATATATATATATGTTTGTTCATTGGCATATCTTTGTCCTTAACAGTTCAAAGATATATCTAGGCACATCAGTTTAACAGCTGAGAAACCTAGTATCCTTGTATGAATGCTGGTGAATGCCATTTTCCCAAAAAGGTTATGACTCAAACAGGTCATGTTTTTACCAAGAGGTTATAGCATCATTTTTCAAAAAATTATAACTTCTAACAAGGTCGTGCTTTTCCAAAGATCATAAAATCTCCAAATGGTTATGGAGATTTTCATTTTACAAAAGTATCCCAAGTTACCTCTTAGAAGAAAGGGAACTCCTTAAAAGTAAAAGGTCTAATTAAGAGCAGGAAGGCTAGTGATTTGGTCTTAATATATGCAGCTAGTTTTGGGAGGAGTTATGGGTATCCAACCCATAAGAGCCTTCATTTCTGGTCTTCGGACTATTCGAACTACATAGACCCTACTGTCTTGAAACTCGGTTTTGCCATTCCCTTCTCCAAGCATTTATGTATGGGATTTGCATGTTTATATGCACACAGACATAAACAATGAGAGACAATGAGTTTTCCTGCTATCTGCTTTTCTTTTCTGTGACTGGCTGGAAACATTTTGTATTTTGTACCTTTATTTTGTAAGTTACCTTGAAGAAAGAATATTAGTCTTTATGAGAGAGAAATGAATGGCATGTATGAATATGTGAGGGGAAGTCATAGGAAGGAGGGAGGAGGAAGCAGGCTTGTTTTCTGCTGCCCTGGAGACTAGGATGTGGAACAATGGCTTCAAACTACAGGAAAGGATATTCTACCTGAACATTAGGAAGAACTCCATAACTGTGAGATCTGTTCAGCAGTGGAATTCTCTGCCCCAGGGTGTGGTGGAGGCCATCTGTCAGGGTGCTATGAATGCGATTTTCCTGATTCTTGGCAGGGGTTGGACTGGATGGCCCATGAGGTCTCTTCTATGATTCTATGGTTCTAGAGGAGGAGGGAAATTTTCCCTTTTCATGGTCACAGTCATACACATAACCTAGGACAAATTCCTATTGATAACAGTACTTATTTCATTCCCATTTTCAGATGGGATAATAGTTTTCTACAAAGAAAATAGGACTTAATTGTATAGACTGTTGCTCTGCTAGGAAGTACTTGGAGACCAGGTAATAATAATAATTATTATTATTTATTTATTTATTTATACCTCGCCACCATCTCCCCCAATGGGGACTCGGGGCGGCTTACATGAGGCCAAGCCCGAACAACAAATTGCAATAAAATAAACAACATAGCATTAAAATATAA